CCTGGCACTTAGTTAAGGGGTTTTATTCCCTCCCTAACTTCAGGGAAAAATTCCTACCTGGGGAAACAACCTTTCTTGGAGAGGTGACCTTGGTTAAAACACATAGCGCCAAGAAGGGGAGCAAACATATTAAGAACAGTATGCCATATACGCCAGGTCCCTTGAAACATATGCTGTGCAGATGTTTCTTCTCTGCAGCGACTGTCAAGCAGCAAGGATGGACCGGCTCCCGGCAAATTCCCCCTTTTTTATTTTTTAAATGATAGCGCATGTAAATCAGTGGCCACCTCTCGGATTGGGTTGTTTAAGACTCAGAGGAAGACTGACAAGCAATGATAGCGAGCATAGCTATAAACATAGTGGATGGAGTGCACACAGAGCCTTGTTCCTGTAGAAGGTTGCTGGCCTCTTTAGTCAAGGGATTTCAGCTGTCCTCAAGTCGGTTGTAGAGTAGCAGTCCAATTTCCCTTTGATAGTCTGGATTAGTCATCCAGTCGGCACAGCCCTTATTTGCCTGTTGATTCATATATATGAGGAGTCCAAAGTAGTCTAGTGGCATTCTTAACTCCCAATTGGATGGAATCGTTGTATTTCCTGATGGAAGCAACCTTCCCTTTGGAATTAAGATTTCTAAGCCATCTGAGCACAAGATAGGGAGCAAAAATTTTTCTAATAAGTTACTAGGGGTTATAGTGAGTGAAGCCACTCCGTTTCTACCCCTTGATTTTTGGACCTGTGAATCCTGGGTATGAGAGAAACAGTACCACATAACAGATGCTGATTCAGAGCATATACAGCCTTTCGGAGAACTTTGCTCAAGCCTGGCAAGTTATTGTCATTTAGCTGACACTGTAATTGAGTCTTTAAGACTATTCCACTGTTCTGTCAAGCCAGTTGTTGCAGGATGTTGGGGAACATGGTAAAGCTAGTGAATTCCATGATCATGAGTCTATTGCTACACTTCATTTGCTGTGAAATGAATTCCCTGATCAGAAGCAATGCTGTATAGAATATCATGATGGTGCATAAGTTCTGTAAGTTCACAGATGGTAGTTCTTGCATGGAGCACTGTATGCAGGGAAGGCAAATCCATATCTATAGCAAATGTCTATTCCAATAAAAGAAAACACCGACCCTTCCATAATGGAATAAGTTCAATGTAATCAACCTGCCACCAGGTAGCTGGCTACCATCATGGGAATG